GGGGTGTTAATACTTAATAATACGAGGACTTTTTAACAATTAGAGTAAACACAGAGGGTGCTGAATGCAATAAACCCTTCTTTTAATTGATATTATTCTCAATTTTGAGATTTCGTTAATGTTATTCCGTCGTCCAATTAATTATAATGCATTTTTTTTAGCAAATAACCTCGAGATTTGAGGGGGTAGTTCGCTAAGAAAAATTGAACTTTAGGGAGGTGGGGTGGGGTTGCTAACATTAATAATACGAGGACTTCTTTAACAATTACAATAAACACAGGGTGTATTGAATGCAATAAACCCTTCTTTTTAATTGATATTATTCTTACAATTTCGCGATTATTTCTTCATCAATGTTTTTTCGTCGTCCGATTAATTTTTCATTCCTATTTTTCAGGGAATGTACATGATCACTTTCCGTCAGCGGTTAGCAAATATGCTCTACAACTCGGTGATAATGCAGTCCCTTTTGATATGGACCACCTCCGTTTTGATGGGCGGTTATCCGGCGGCAATTTCACTCGCCCTATCGATATTGAGCATCGTGCTTATGTGGATATTCTCCGTTGTTTTTTCCGTTTCCGCGGCCTTCGTATTGCCCCTCGTATCTTCCTCTTCGCCGATGCCATTTGTCGCTAGCCCGTGGCTCGTCGTTTTTCTTTACGGCGGACCTGCGCTCATCGGAGCGTTGACCGGTCAACACATCGGGTACCGTGCGCTGGAGTCGTACTTGGCTCGTAGTTTTGTCGAGAGGAAGCGAAGCTTGCCTGCCAGCTGGCAATCCAGTGTGGCGAAATTAGACGCCGAGAGATGGATTTATAAAGCTGGTTTACTGCAGTGGCTTGTTCTATTGATGGTCGGGAATTATTTTCGAGTCGGTTCTTCTTATTTGGCCTTCGCTTGGTTAATCTCGCCTGCATTTGCATGTAAGTTATATAAATCTCGATTTAGTGTTTATAAAATGTCTAAAATATCCTCGAGTTAATAGGTTGTTTCTTGTCCAATTTCGAGGGGTAAATGAGTAAAATAACGTCTATTAGTTTCAAACCTAAAACTTGGATTTTATAATAATAGGGCTGGGCCATGATTAGTAGTCCTTCATTTGCAGGATAAATAACCGGCCCGAAATATAATCTCGGGCCGAAATCATACTTCACAAACACTTGACGTTACTTGATTAAATTAAAAAAAAAATCATGGCTCGTTTGGGGATATTGATAGGATTGATTGGATTGGATAGGATTATATAATCCACGATAATGTAATAAGTGATTATCTTATGTTTGTGATTTACGATTATACAATCCTCGTATTAGGAGTTTCTATAGTGATCCCACGGTTATATATTTATTCCCTTTTTTTTATCACTTACTTTTATTTAATTTATTTAATTATTTATTTTTTATATTTCTAACCATTTCGTAATTTTTTTTTACTTTTTTTAATTTTTCTCGTCAAATTTGGAATATTTAGACGGTTTGCTCGAGGCGACATTATCACCATCAAGATTACCGAGGCAGCTCAAAACCGTGACACTATTAGTCGGATCGTTTGTGCCTTTTGTACTTTCGTCTGGCATGGTTATTAGATTGGTCGCTACTTTAACCGGAACTACGGTTCGCCTCGTGAGGTAACAATTTACTAAGTAAAGTTTCGATTTTTTTCTCGTTTTTTGTTTCGGTTATTAGATTGTGATTTTAATTAATAAATAATAATATGGCTGATATTATATTTTTGCAGGAACCCTGGTACAACTCCTGATTGGATGGGAAATATAGTGATTGCCGTATTTATTGCTGCTGTTGTGTGTTTGACGTTCGTGTATCTGCTCTCGTATATTCACATATCAGGTGTTGTGTATATATATATGTATATATATAAATATAAAACGTATAATACTAACATGGCATTTCAATTTTGTATTAAACGTGTTTTGTATTTATTTTTTCGTTTAGGTGCAAAAATGCCAATTATAATTACTGCATCAATTCTGTTCTTGATCTCTCTTGCTGCGGTTTGGGGAGGTGTCGTTCCGCCATTTACCGAAGATACTGCTCGAGCTGTAAATGTGAGTCACCACTATTCCTTCGTAACTTTTTTATTTTATTTTCTTATACTCCAATTTATAAAAAAAAAAAATCGGGTCAAAATCTTCACGAATATGGTATTTTATTCGCGTGACAAATACTAAAATAAGTTGAATTCTAGTTTCTTGATCGTACCTCTCATTTCAAGATCCGATTTTTATAAAAAAATCGTAAAACATTTTAACTACAAAACTAACGTAAAATTATCTTACAATTTTCATCCCGTTTTTTCAGGTCGTTCATGTTGTGGATGCAACAAAAACGGGTGGTGAAAACATCGAGCCGGCCTCATATATTTCTCTATTTTCAACAACCCCCGGAAATTTAATCAAGGAGGCCAATGAAATTGGGGAAGGCTTCGTCTGTGGGAAAAATAGACATTTAGATTTCGTCACGTTTTACGCAAATTACAGCTGTTGGACGAACAAGAATGCTGAAAAAGGTTGGTTCAAATCCAATATTCCAACAATCCAAGTGGATAAGGATTTGAAAGGAGATAATCGAGAGACACAAATCTCGATCGACACCAAAGATTCCACTCGGTGGTCTCTCGGAATTAATACCGTAGAAATCGAAGACTTTCAGTTAAAAGGTACTCCCTCTATTCCATATTATCTGTCGCTTTAGAGAATCTTTTTTGTTCCATATTATGAGTTATTCCAATAATGCATTTTTTCCCTGATTTACCCTTATACCCTTGTTAATACATCTCTATTAAGCATTATTTCTCTTATCACCTCATGAAATAGTAAAAGTTATTTTAGTTTTTTTATTGTCTTTCCTAAAATTCACTCTTATTTAATTATTTTATTAATACGTGTTTAAAAACCTAAAATGAAAGTTAATTATGGAACAGATGGAGTATCATCTAAAAATCCTTGTTAAATATTTATGGGCAAATTACAGTCACCCCTTGATGTAAGGTCAAATTACGAAAAAACCCCTCTTGTTTGGGTATTTACAACCACATTCCTCAACTATGTATTGTCTTACGAAAAAACTCCTATTTCAGTAGGTAAATTTGGCATTATAAGGATGGACGTGTAAAAAATACATAGTTGAAGGGCTGGTTGTAATTTCCCCAATTGGAGGGGTTTTTTCGTAATATGACCTTACCTTAGGGGTGGCCGTAATTTGCCCAATATTTATTCCTTTTCCTTTCTTTTGTATTTCTCTCTCTTATGTTAGAAACCTATAGTTTATTGCATTTAGCACCCCTGTTTGCTATAATTGTAAAAAGAATGTATAAATATTAGCAAAATTACCCCGTATGATTCACTTTTATTAGCAAACTACCCCTAAAAACGTACCGTTAAAAGGTTTGTGTACTATAAAAAGTTACCACAAGGGGTATTGTTTGCTAATATTTATAACACAGAGGCATAAATTGCAATAATCTCGTTTGATGCATTTCTCTTGTGCTAAAAATGCTTCTTTCGATCCACAGATGCAGAAACTAACGAGGAGTTGATTCCGCTAGGCGAAAAGAGCAGCGTAGATGGGTGGCACATTATCCAATTTTCGGGTGGAAGAAATTCGCCGACCAAATTTAAAATCTCACTCTTCTGGTTAAATAGCGGGACCCACATGAAAATCGAGGATGGTGTGAAAAACGAAGGCTTTGTTCTGAAACTCAGAACCGATGTTGATAAATTGACACCACCGGTAGAAACTGTTCTCCGGAAGCTTCCGGAATGGTGTTCCCTCTTTGGAAAGTCTACTTCTCCTCACACGTTAGCTTTTTTGAGTAGTCTACCGATTTCTTTTTAGGTAATTCTTTTTTTTTTTTTTTTTTAATTTTAAATTTTGAATTTAACATATTTGAAATGTGATGTTTAGTTATAGAAACCGTCTTCTACGTCACATTAATCACCTCGAAATGATCGATGATTTTACGGATAAGTTTCTATTATTTTTTTTATAGTGAGAGAAGAGTATTTGAGGGTGAAGTTGTCTTTTGACAAATCTTGTTTAATATCAATTATATATGTGATTTTTTTTCTCTGTGTTGAGTCATATCCTATGTAGCACGGAAACTCCAACTTCTTAACGTTTTCGCGTTTCAAAAATGTTTTGTGTCAGAAACTCGAAGACCATGCCACTTTATGGGCCATTTTGTAATTTCTAAAAAGTTAGAAACATGTATGAATAGCAAATTTTCAAATATTTTTGTTGTTGTTTCCCAAATTATTTAAATGATTTAGTGATCAACTGCAATTGATAATTGATAGTAAAATTTATTTTGAATATGTTTGTATAAAAATTATATATAAATAAAAACTTACATATGTTTATATAGAATATTTATAGATATATCCCTATATTTTCAATATTTACATATTTTCCCCAAGTTCTTGTATCCCTATTTTCAGAACATGTCGTTTCCCTGTATTGTCGTTTCCGTGTCCGTGCTACATATGTTATATCAATTATGTCACTTAGGTTTCAAAGTGGAAATTAATTCCGATTTTTGAAAACATTTAATGCTATATTTTCTGAACATGTTTTGGAAAAAAAATGTGAAAAGAAATATGAAATTGTGGAAACTCCAATATTTGTTTGATGAAAAGTATAATTTAACCACCCATCATTTATGAATTTAAAAAAAAATTGCTATTTTATCAATCTATGATAATATTTTTATATTTTTTTTTTAAAAAAATTGCTATTTTATCAATCTATGATAATATTTTTATATAGAGGTGTTCACTCTGGACAAAAAAATCAGTGTGTGCTAAATACCAAACCGAAAGTTGGTATTCGGTAACTCTTTTTTTTGAATTCCGATAATTAGTATGAGATACAATATTGATGCCCCCTATATTGTCCGATACCGAATACCAAAATATTTAATATAAATTTATTTTAAATCCTTCAAAATTTAGTTAAAAAATGAAAATATTTGTGAAATAAAATAGTGATATGGTAATTCTTAAGATTTATTTATATTTAATACAATGTTGTATTTTGTTTGGATTTTTTTATTTACAAATTTAAAAGTTCCTAAAAATACATTAAAAGTTATTAAAAAGTAAAATTTGGTGGGAAAATGGTTTTGGCAGTATATTTATGAGGGTAATGCAGTCATTTCATTGCAGCCAACTAGCTTTATTTGAAGAGGTGGCGGTAGGCTAAATAAAAGGACTTGTATGCAAATTAGAAATTTCAAAGGGGGCTCCATGCAATTATCTCAATTATAAATTCAAAAATTTTCCCCCAAATTGAATCTTTTGCGTTCCATTTTCCGCCCTAAATCACATTCAATTGCGCTCTTCGTCCTCTCCGAATTCTCAAAATTGATTCTCGATTTCGAACACAAATGGCGAACCCATTTATTCCGGATGAAATCCTGCTCGACATTTTCTCCCGGCTCCCGGCAAAATCCGTCGTCAGATACAGGAGCTTATCGAAAAAATGGCGCACTGTTCTCTCCACTAAACACTTCGTCGAACTCCACCTTGCTCGAAATCCCCACCAAGAAAGCTTCATTTTCATCTCCAGTGAACATCTCACAGTCCACTCAATCGACAAGATCGAAGGCGCCGCCGCCGCCGTTTCAAGAAAGATCGAACTGCCAAATAAATGTCTGAGAGTTGTGGGTTCTTGTGACGGATTGGTTTTGTTGCGAAATGACGAAGGCGGAATCTTTCTGCTAAATCCCGTTACCCTTCAGTTCGCAAGTGTACTACCGGCGTCCCCGAGGCAGGCATTGATTCACTTCAAATTCGGTTTCGGGTACGATAGCTCCGTCGACGATTACAAGATTTTCCGGTACTACGTTCGTGATCTAGTTATTCCCGGTGTGTTTTTGGATGTGTATTCCGTCAGAGGGGGTTTCTGGAAAAGTGTCGAGAATCCGGCTTACATTCCCAATCATTTCGAAATCGGTCATGGTGCTTTCTTGAATGGGGCAATCCATTGGTTGGCTAAGAAACCTATCGAATTAGACTATCGAATAGCTGCTTTCGATTTCGCCCGTGAGGTGTTCGATGAAATTCTTCTTCCAATTGGCATCGACGAGGATGGATTTGTATTAAGATATAAGCTTGTGGTTTTCGACGGTTGTCTTTGTCTAGTTGAATATAAAATGAATTCGGGGACTGATGTTTGGATCATGAAGGACTACGGGGTGGCGGAATCTTGGACCAAGTACGATTTTCGTGGTGAATTAACACCGTTGTGTTATATTCACAAAGGGGAAGATGTGTTGGTTAGTAAATCGGGAAGTTTGCATTTTTACAATTTGAAAGAGCGGAAGTCGAGAGGCGTTGTTGTTGATGGCGGTGCAGTTATGTTAAGGGAGGGATGCATGTTCGCGGGGAGCATCGTCTCGCCTTTTGCCGATAACTAAATGAAGCGTGTGCAATCGTTGGCTAAAAACACGAGCACTCGATGGGAATTTTTTTGGTAAAATTCATCATTGCGAATCTTGATCTTCGTCTCGGTTGCTCGGTTTTTTGGCTTTAGTGTGATTTTCTTTAATTTTTTTTGTTGGTATTTTACGATGATGTTTGAGGAGTATATCTTTTATGTCTTTGAGAAGTTAATAATGCATTGGTAAATTTCTATCTCGAATACAATTTTTTTTCGTTTTAGTTTCGTTTGTCGATAGTGACAACTTCCGATTCGTTGAGTGCAGTTTCCTTTTTTTTTTCCCCCCTTTAAAACGGAAAGAAGCAAAAAAAAAAATGATGTACAATGAAGGCTAATAATGTTTTCGAAATTAAATTATTTGCATACTCGAAGCTTCGAAATATTAAATTAAACTATGTTTTCTTAACTACCGTTAAACCTTTTAAAATTAATACGGGACTAGGGAAATTCTATTAATTTAGCGAATTATTAAATTATCGAGTTAATAATTTAACAAGTTTTCACCGATTCGGGACCAAGAAAAACTATTATTTAATTGAGGTTATTAATCTATCGATGTTCTACTGTACGAATCGGGTAAAAAACTATTCATCCATAAATATATGTATTAATTAATCCGAAAAAAACTATTCATCCATAAATATATGTATTAATTAATCCGAAAAAGCACGTCGATATGGAATTTGGAAAAAAAAAGTAGAATCACTTAAGAGAGAGTCCTGAAAATTGCATTAGCAAATAATATGTGTTTATTTATTCATATTCTTTTAAATAAAACAACTCTAGCAACAATTCATCACCAACTAGATAGTTTTACTAGGTTGGTGGGCGGGTTCGTGTCGGAGAAGTAGAAACCGTCACTTTGAACCGAATAATAGCAAACGTCATAAGTACAACGGTTCTTCTTCCAGGACGCGTCGAAAACATCGAAAGCCGTGTTCTTACCATTCCATCGGAAACGACAGAAGAACAAAGTACTAAAAGGGTTCTCGCAGAAATCAAAGTGAAAGTCTTGGTTCGTGCTGAGCACGTGATCCCCAAGATCGTCGTTTCCAGACGCGCAGTGCAGCAGTAACGGTGCGGAATTCGACGGCAGATTGTTGACAACATAAACGGTGTATTTGTAGTTAAATAAACCGCAGGCTATTGTTTCGTAAGTGTTCGACGAAAATATGACGAACAACAATAATAAATATTTGACCACCATGGTGTTGTTCTTGTTGCTAATAATAGTGATATATATGTGAATTTAATTTGTGACAATGTGAGATGTTTTGATTTGGCCTTATTGTACCCTTTTTATAGACATAGTAAATGTGTAAGTGAATGAAAATATATTATCCAATTGAAAGATTCTTATATGGGATCACAATGATTATCATATGGGTCAAAAAAAATCTTAATGATAAAGGATTGAGGTCAAGATTATGTTATCTACATTAGTAAAACAAAATCTAAATGATAAAGTATTGAGTCAAGATTATGTTATCCACAATACTAAAAATGTGGAATTTACTTCAATTGTAATAAAGTTTTCTTTTGACCAATAGCTAAATATTTATAATAAGATCTCACTCATATATATATATATATATTGGTAGAAATTGGAATGAAATTTCTGAATCCCGCAAATTCTGATAAAAGTAGATTGCATATAGAAAAAATAACAATTTTATTTTTATTTTGTCACCCTGAAAATAAAAAAAAAAAAACAACAAAAAATAAAATTGGCCTCATTAAGTTTAAAATATTCAAAAAACGCGCATGTTCAATATTCCGGCCAAAATTTCCCTAAAAAATAGTTTGGGGGCACCTTAGAGCGAATTAACGAGTTCAGAAAAAAACGTGACAAATTTTTTTTTGTTTGGGGGGGGGGAGTGCAAAATGGCCCTAAGTAGATTGATAATTTTTTCCATTATTTACTAAATTGGCCTCTATTGATAATCAATTTTTGTTTTCTTTGCCGATTATTGAAATTTGAATGTCAATTTCAAGAATTAATTATTAATTATTTTATTTTTATTTTTTACCTTTTTTTAAATAAAAATATATTTTTCGATTTTACCATTACTGAACCGAAAAAATCCGAATTAATTCGGTAAAAAACCGTACTGAACCGAATAATTCGGTTCGGCACGGTTTTGCCGAATGAACATTCTTTTACATCTCAAATTATTATATTTTTCTTCATTTTTTCACTAATATGTAAAATACCAAATATAAAAAATCATTAGGGTAAATTACACATATACCCTTTAGCTATGCTAAATTAACTTCAAGGTCCCCGTGGTATTGGTAATTACAGCCGCACCCCCAAACAATTACCCGAGCCAATATTTCATGTCATTGGGACCGATATGCACTATATTTATTTCTCGTAGGGCCGTTAATGCTATCATAGACGAAAATTTATAAATTTTATATAAAATATGAAGGATTTAAGAAATGTTAGGAGATCCATGTCACCCTCTAGCTCTATGTTGTCTCCACCACTGCCTGGAACTAATAGTCCGTTAGAGCCCTAATGGAATATCTTATCCGATACATTATTTCGTTAGGGTTTGTAACAATGTTTCAGGGGTGATTGTAATTATCGATACTACATGAACCTTAAAGTTATTTTAGCATACCTCAGGGGTGTAGGTGTAATTTACCCAAAAGCTTATTTGGAAAATTCAAAACTTAAAAGTTAAAACCAGTGTGCTCACTTTATCCCCTTGTTTCTACGCCTCCACCTGGAGAGATACAGAGAGAGTAGAGGAGAGATAAACTAGAGAGAGAAAGAGAGAGAGAGAGAGAGAGAGAGAGAGAGAGAGAGAGAGAGAGAGAGAGAGAGAGGCTGAGAAAATGCAGACAGTACTACATACCAGCAGATTCAATCTCAGCCTCTCTCCCAGAATCAATCACCAGCCATTTTCTTCAACTGCGAAGATTCCTTGCTGTGAAATTCCCATCTTACCCCTCTCTTCTTCTCACTCTCCCATATCAGGTTCGCCTAAATATCTTCAGTGTTTTGTTACTCAATTTGGTGCAAATGTTTCAGTTGTCTTTAGTTTGATTTAGGTTTTCGGGTTTTCGGTTTTTGGTTTCGGTTTTCGGTTTTCGGTTAATTATGATCAGTGTAGTACGGAAACTTCAACTTCTCAACGTTTCCTGGTTAAAGGGCCACTTTGCAATTTTTAAAAAGTTAGAAACATGTCTGAATAGCAAATTTTCAAATATTTTTGTTAGTTCTCAAATTATTTACATGATTTAATGATCAATTGCAAATTAATCGTTTATAGTAAAATTTATTTTCAATATGTTTGTATAAAAATATATAAAAAGAATTTATATATAAATAAAAACTTATATATGTTTATATAGAATATTTATAAATACACCCCTATACTTTAAATATTTACACGTTTCCCCAAGTTCCCGTATCCCCATTTTCGGAAAGTGCCATTTCCCCACTTCCCCGTATCGTCGTTTCCGTATCCGTGCTACATAGATGATGGTTAATTCAAAATTCCGTCCTTATTTGATGTTTGGTTGGTCACATTTTATGAATGGGTAACTCCGCGTGACATATTAATGGATGCTAAATACTTATGGTTGTTAAATATAAATAACAACCAACCAAACAAGGCCTTAGTGTATATATATCGGATCAAAGCAATTTCTAAAAATAAAATCGGAGATTTTATTCGCATATTACATATAACATGTGAATAATGTCTTAATTATATTTGTCTGAAAATTCATAAACAATCTGAAAACATAAAGATGTTTTTATCGTATTATAGGAGTTTGTAGAGCCGGTGGTCAAGTGGCCGAATTGTTTCCGGTAACTTGTCCCGGCATTGTCGTTCGAGAAGCCGGGATACAAGACTGCTGGGAAGTAGCCGAAACGCACTGTAGTTCCTTCTTTCCGGGATATTCTTTTCCTCTCGATTTATTGTTGAGATTCGATAGGGTTATTGGAATGCTCTTCGGATTTTCCGCACCAAAGGGATGCAAAAGAACTTGCCTTGTTGCTGTAATTGGGAGGAGTGGAGGCTCGTTTTTTTCGGGGAGCGATGATGTCGGGATCGGGAATTTATTTGTGAATAAAGGATATGTAGCTGGTGTTTTGACTTTGGACACGGTAGCCAAGTTTCTTCCACGAAAAGGACCTCTTCGAAAGCGAAGGTATGTTTTCTTTAGCGTTTCCGAACATATTTTTCTCATCCAATATTCAAAAATCATGGCTTATATTTAGGGGTGAAAGTCGGAACGTAATTTCCAATTTCGGAGCACTTCTTTTTATTCCAATTTCCAATCTTTTTAGATTGAAATTGGAAATATATGCAAAAAAAATGGTTTTTTCGATTTCCGATCCGATTTTAATTTCAGAAAAATTGTGATTTTATAATTTATTTTGGTACTATATTTGTATTATATATATTATTATTTTAGTTAGTAGAAAAATAATTTATATTTTCGTTCTTTTACCTATTAAGTTATGTTTCTATTTTCCGGTTCTATCATTATCCGGGATGAATGTGGATTGTTGATGGCTTGATTTTCTTTCTTTCTTTAGATTGACAATGAGTCGTCGATGAAATACACGCTATTGATTTTATTAAGAGCCGGTAGTCTTATTTACGGAAAATGTATGCAATTTCCAAAAAAGAAAATAAAAAGCGAAACTTTCCGAAATTTTCGAAGATTTTGGAATTGGAACGGATTTCTAGATTCCAAATAGTTTCTTGGAATCGGAAGTGAATTTATATTCCATAAAAAAAAAAATCGAAATTTTTCCAAAGAGATCGATTTCGATCCGTCTTTCACCCCTACTTATATTACCAAGCATAAATCTCAAAAAAACGGACAATGTTGCATAACTTTTGGACAGGAAAGGAATAGCGTACATATCAAATGTTGCGGTGCGAGAGGAGTTGCGAGGAAAGGGAATCGCAAAGAGGGTAGTGGCAAAAGCCGAGGCGAAGGCTAAAAGCTGGGGATGTAGAGCCATTGCTTTGCATTGTGACCTTAACAACACCGGAGCTGTACAGCTGTACGTTAGTCGGGGATTCAAGAGCGTGAAGGTTCCGGAAGGTGCTAATTGGCCGAAACCGAAAGCTTCGGCCGACGTGCGGTTCAATTTCATGATGAAGCTCCTTTAACTCTCTACTCTCATATTAAATCAAATTATTTTAGGTAAATGTATATATAGGGTAAATTACGGCCAACCCCCTATGGTGAGGTCAAATTACAAAAAACACCGACATCTTATAAACTCGGACGTCTGATTAGCTGGATGAAATCTTACTTCTTATTTTTACAACTACCTTCTTGAGGGAAAGTCAATTTACAAAAGAAGTCCTCATTTATTATAAATTACATACATACCCCTGAAGTTTATAAATTTCTTACATCCTCCCTACAAAGGGTGTTAATGTAAGAAATTTTATAAATTTCAAGGGGTAGACATAATTATGAAAAAAAGAGGGTTTTTTTTTTCGTAAATATACTTCACCTCAGGGGGACAGTTGTAACTTACCCCAATATTTTAAAGTGTTTGAGTAACGAGCTTATCAAAGAGTTTGAATTGTGTGTAATTATGAGCATTAACATGTACACTTAGGTGGTGTTTGTAAAAGCTTTTACAAACAGATTATGAGTTTTTTTTTTTTTTTTTCTCATAATTTATTTTTAGGTGTTTGCAAAATGAGTTTTTACTTTTACTTCTCTTAAAATAAGCAATTCTAAGCTATAATTTATAAAGTATCACTGTATCTGTCCTTTTGAATTTAAGTTAATTTTCCAGCAAAATTACGAACACCCCCAACTTCTTAAAATAAGTACTTAAAACCAACTTACGTCACCATCCATAACTTATGCTTTTCAATAAGCTCGCTAGGATTAAAAGATATGCTAGTAATATGTCTTGTAGCTGCTATACTTTGTAAAATGTGGTAATCTTTTTCAATCGCACATATACATATGGATGTGTGTAAAATATATAAATCTATCGACGCGTACGGTAGGATATAACTCAGATGAAAATCCACCTATTGTAGCATAAAGCAAACCCTTTATATGTATCGTTGTGGGTGAGAGAGAGAATGCATGAATAAGAACTTTCGAATGAGAAAAAAAAATTATTTGTCTCGTATTTAATCAACTCTACATTCGTCTCCGGTGTGTTTAGTGGTGCCGGAAGAATCACTACAAACTACATTGTTCGATGTTTCTGATCTTTCCATACAAAACACGGACTCCGATTTCCCGTACAGTTCTTCGTACGAGGTAAGAATCGATAGGTCAAGGGTCCGACCAACATCCTCAGGCTCCGTAAAAACCTTACAGTGCGTTGTTTCGACCCCAAGCTCGAGTTTCTGCTCTTCAAACCTTGAAAATTCTCCGTCCGAAGAAGCTTCCAGAGGGAAGTTCTGAATAACCCCCGATACCGACCCGTTCGAGACATCCCCCACATTCTCTCGATTTTCATCCGACAAATTGGAAGCAATGATTTGTTCTTCCGTGAGAATTGGTTGTCCGAATAAAAGAAAGAGGGGCGATTTTTTCGCCTCGTTTGATTCCTCGAAATTCTCCGTTTTCTGAGATGGGCTAGTATAATCGACGAGTGGCTTGAAATCGAACGGTTGAGGTTTATTATAGTGGAAATTTGAGGAAGGTAATAAGATTCGAGCATGCCTGGCTCCCTGTATGCCTGAATAAGAAATGTTGTTGTCGGAGAAACAACACAACGGGCTGAGGGGGTTGTTGCTAAAAAATGTCGGCATCGAAACCGGATATCCAGAAAGTTCCGGAAGCCGCGGCCTCTTTCTCGGCACGGATAATGGAGAGAGATGAATGGCTGGAATATTCGACACTAATTCCACTAACCATGGGCTCACTCGCTTCACGTTTTGTAGTAAATCGGGTTCATCCCACGCCACCTGCAAACAGAGTTCGACGAAAAATCATTACGTCGGCTTTAATTATCAATCGAACAACAATTACATATTCGGTGATTTTATTTTTTCAGATTATTACATGTTCATAGGACGACTAAGAAACAAAAGAAATGCAATTTTTTAATTTACCTGAAGAAGCCGCCAAGGAGAATTAGGCCAGCGAATCGGATCATCGACCCGAACCGACGAAATCGTTCCCATAAACCAACTTATCCGAGACGAATCTTCCGTCTCGAAAGCCATCTTAAACCTCATCCCACCACACCACCGAACCCTCATTGCATCCCTCACGACAGAGGCCCTCACCACAAACTCCGGCGTGCTAGCACGCGGATAATAAACAACCTCAAACGGCCGACCGCACGAGGCAAGATCCACCGCTTCAATTACCGATTCGCCCCTCTCCCCCACCCCTAAAAAATCACGACCACCACTATTCCATCCGTAAGCCGCCACCTCAGCTCCAACGCCCAACCCCGTTTTCGCCCTCCGCACTCCGATGCAAAGTTCCCCGTTTTCCGCCCTCAAGAACACGACAGAATCACCCGCGACGAGCCGTTTTCGACTCACGAAATTGCTCCAACCGGTGGTCAACAGGTGTCGCCTCGGCGTGCCCCGATAGATGTGCCTGAATTTTCAAACCTCGCCATGAACATCCTTAGCCAAAACGGTCTGAACCGGAGGCTCGGCCGAGTAATCCAGCCTCGGAAATATTGTCTCCGCGCAATACCTCGGGACCGAAAACCCTCCCCCGTTATTCGCATCCGACTGCGTCAAGGTTTTGGCGAACGAATTCGATTTCGATATCGACACCTCATTTACGCCGCTCTTATCGAAATTACTATCAAATTCATCGTTCGCTCCCAATGGAACCAACTTGATCTTCGCAAACACCTCATCGGACTCGGCATCAGCTAAATACTTAACGGACAGCACTCTACAGAGCACAAGTGGCGGAATTTTTGAAAATTCACCGGAATCGAGGTTTCCGGCGGCGTGTTCGGCGTGGCCTTGGGGGAAGTAATAAACGCCGGAATTCAACGGCGGCGTTTGAGCCATACCGCCGGCGCAGGCGTGCCATAGCTGAGGATTCAATGATTTTTCCAATTGATTCACCACTGAATGCATAACATTGATCATATCTCGAAAACCTAAAAAATTCAAATGCCAAAAAAAAAAAATCCCAAATTGAAAATCTTATACTTGAAGAAAAAGCAAAAATGTAAAGAATTGGTTGGTCGTGTAGGCTTTTTGGAGAACATTAAAAGCAAAAATGAAATAACTTGATTATTTGTGACTGAGAAAAACACACACAACACACACTAGAGATGAGAGAGAAAGAAGAGAGAGAGAGAGAGAGAGAGAGAGAGGGAGGGAGATTGCGTGTGAAAAAGACACCTGAAGTTGAAGGTTCGTATTGCAGTGCAGAGAGCGAAGGTGTCAGAGGGAATTTGATATTTTGACAAATAAACATAGTAGAATATAATAAGTCAAATATACTTATCAAAAATAATAATAAGTCAAATATACACACACATTTGTACATATACATACATTTTTTTTTTTTTATATTCCGGATGATTTTAATTACCGTCGGTGGAACAGTTGAATTTCTATAAATTAATATAGTCGAGACTAGGAAAATTTTATTAATTTAGCGAATTATTAAATTATCGAGTTAATAATTTAACATGTTTTCACCGAATCGGACTGAGAGAAACTATTATTTAATCGAAGTTATTAATTTATCGAGGTTTTACTGTATTTCCTTTGGATTTTGGATTTTGGAATTCGTAATTTTTTTAGTAATAATTATATGTTATAAACTCAATGTGGATGGATCGGCCAACAATAATGTTGTTTAAACGGGCGGTGGTGTGATTCATGATCGGCCGGAAACTTTGTTGCTGCTTTCTCCAACGTTTGTGGCCACGGTACGAATAATATGACGGAGCTATATGTGCATTATAAATGACGGGATGGGCTGCGGTTGTGTCACCCTTTAGACATCGAGAGTGATTCTAAGATTGTGGTGCGGGGCGATGCAGGGCAAGCAACGGCGTCACCAAGAGAGATTTTAAAGCCTTAATGCGAAACACGTTTAGTCTTCATCATGTTTTTCGGGGGCAAAATAGTCCGGCGGATTTTGCACATAGCCATCAACATCGGCAAGATTTTCTTTTGTCACTCTAATTTTACTTCTATGGGTTGTTCATGCTTTTATAACGAGATTCTCTGGGCACATGTTCTTTCGTCAATAAGCGACGGTGGGAATTGGAGGGTTTCGTCGCTAGGTACCGATTAATTTTCACGATTTGTAGCATTTTGCGTAGTTCGATAAGAGTTTTCTCTCAGTAATTTTATTGCACAAAGCTATGTAAGGGGCACTCTTTTTTCTTGTTTTGCCAAGAAGATTTTTACTAGGTTCATATTCTTTTCATGCAATAAAATAATTTTTTCGGCCAAAAATTTAAAAAATAAATAAATAGAAGGGAAATAAGAATCTCACAAGCATTTTGGGGAATCTAGAAAGGAACAAATTGGACATAAAAAACATATTAAACCCATCACAATTGAAACCCCCCACCCAACAACCAAACACTTTTAATGTTGATGGGGCTACACATTGTCCAAACATATGCAATTTATTTGTCTTAATTACAATACAATAA